CCCAGCTTTTTTATTTACAGCATTCCCTCAGATTGTGTTTTCTTTATTGCCTCTATTTCAGTTTTTAGGTCTTGAACTGTTTCCTTGAGAGATTTGTTGATATCTTGTATTTTTTGGTTTATTTTTTCTTCCATTTCTTTTGGGATTTTCTCATGTCCTCTTTGAGGTCTTCTATCATTTTCATGAAGATGTTTTTCAGGTCATTCTCTTCTGCTTCATCTGCATTGTGATGTTCAGGTCTTGGTGGTGTATGGTTCCTAGTCTCTGGTGGTGTCATATTGGGTTTTCTGTTGTTGAATGTGCTTTTACATTGACCTCTTCTCATCCTTTCTTCTGGTGGGTATAGCAGGATTCTCTTCCTCTCCTGGTGGGTATGGGACCAAGATTTCCTTCTGGTAGATGCAAACAGTTCCAATACTCTGATGTCTGTCCTCTTGTTGTGGATGGAGGTGGAACTGTCACTGGGGCCTTGGCAGTGTTCGGGTGTGTCAGATCCTGCTGCTGAGCTCCGATCCAGCGAGCAAACCCCTGGGCTTCAGATGCCTCCCAGCAGGGTCACTGAACCAAAACCGGAAACAGCCCCTGGCCCACTCAGGCCAGTGGATGGAGGCGGAACTGCCACCAGGGCCTTGGCAGTGTCCGGGTGTGTCAGGTCCCATTGCCAATCTTGGATCCAGTGAGCAAACCCTTGGCGTCAGATGTTTCTGAGCCTCAAAATAAATTTTAATTAAAAGATAATTCTTTTTCTGCTACCAAAAATATTTTGCCCTAGGAAAGACATAACCTGCCAAAAAGGAACCCCTTTTTATTATATTATTGTTTAAAAACATAATAAGAAAACAAAGTAAGTTGCTTATAGACTGTATGGCAAGTCTCTATGCATATAGTGGAGATGTCTGCTCTAGAACCATATCAAAAATTTGCCTTTACCTTGTACCATGCTCTAAGGCAAAGTCCCAACTTTTCTTAACTTCATTTTACTGTTTTTTGTTGGTTTGTTTGTTTTTTCTCTTTGAGACAGGGTTTCTCTTGTGTAGCTTTGGAACCTGTCCTGGAACTCAACTCTGTAGACCAGGCTGGCCTCGAACTCACAGAGAT